TGTTAGACTTTTATTAATTGGGCCTGTTTTATCAGCCCATCTTATATTCAATATTAGAATAGCCCTTTACTATATATATTGTATTAAACCTTACTCTATTGTAAGAGTTTACATATTAATATATTATCTTCTTCATTCGAACACTGCTTCCGCTAAATATAGAACTGCTTCAATTCTTTACTTTCACATGGTATCAGATTAAGGCTTCGATCCTTACTGATTCTCATCTTCTTCTCTCGATTCTTCATTCGAACACTTCAATTCTTCATTCGAACACTGCTTCCGCTAAATATAGAACTGCTTCAATTCTTTACTTTCACATGGTATCAGATTAAGGCTTCGATCCTTACTGATTCTCATCTTCTTCCCTCGATTCCTTCTCCTAAATCGATTTCTATAATCGAATTCTTTACTTTCACATGATTTTTATTGGGACTGTAATTTGTCCCAGACCAGACCAGATCATACCAGACCAGATCAGATTTGGATAGTAATAAAAATACAAAGAAATCAGACCTGACCAGACCATTTCAGACCAGATCAGACCAGCAAATTACAGTCTAAGTAAAAACATCCTAATAGAACGTCATGATATAATAAAATTTTAAATAATTTGCATACTTAATATGGATTACATGTCATGTGTTTGGATAGATACTTTTGAACTGTACTATTAAAGACCGAGATTCGAGGTCCTTAAGTTGGAAGCTATATATACTTGTGAGTATACGACGGGATTTTCCATTTCATATTTTTATGACAGAATCAAAGTTTGTGAATGGGACCTCAGTGTGTTCATATTCTTCAATTCTTGATTCTTCAATGACTATGCAAATGAATCTAACTTCATTTTTATTCTTTTAATTTGACTTTTTAGTTAATTCAGGGTATTGGTAACACAATAGACACCTCAACTGTTGGTCATTACAGACCACCATAAGCCAAACCACTAAACCACACACATGCTTTCTATTTTATAAGGGTAAACTATTAATAGATTTAATTTAATATGACCAAAATTATTTTCATTAAATCTTTGTTTTAAAACACATATGTTACGTCATATGTCAGAAATTTCTCTTTTTATTTCAGCACAATATAATTTTTTTGTATAAATTCCCCCTCAGTATCCATATCATATGAGTTTTTAAGATATGGAGATTTCACCTTTACTAATCCAGCTTCCCTTTGCAAAGGTTTTGGAAATGTTTAATATCATGTATTACATACACTATGGGTTTAACTGTTTAAGTATATACAGGATATACTACTCCCAATATATATTAAAATGATTTCAATTTATTTATCCTAAAAAATACGAAATGTTAATCTTGTATGCTATTGACTTGGAATCCAGCAAGGGCATCTACAAAGAGCCCTTATTGTGATCTAAATATTTTAAGCATTTGTATAAATATTTTAAGCATTTGTATATTATTTTTCCCGATTTCACTCAAAACTTGGCCTTCTAAAATTCTTATATTTATAATCATACATTGGGCACAAATCTCACATAGTGCATATTCTACTAGTAATACATCAAAAGAGTATTGAGTGTGTTACAATGGCATACTTAAGAGTGAAACTTTAGTAAAATGTAATATGGTTTTAAAAGAGTGGGGAAAATCATATCAAAAAATATTAATTAGTGGTGAAAGAGGAACGGAAGTGTGATATTTGAAAATGAACTTATTCAGGGACAAATTTTCAAGGCAAGATAGATTGTTTTCGTGGATTAAAATACAATAGATGGACTAATAGCTATAAGAGGAAAATTGGTGCCCTTTACAAAATGGTGTTAATTTATTTAGGTAGTCTAAGATAGTATATTGAGAATGCGCAATGCGCCAAAAGTGAATATATAGTTTGCGAAAAATGAATGTAAAGTTAAATAAACTGTGTGTAAGCAAATAAAATACGTGTTAATCCCCAATGTTTTAAAAGGTGTTAGGCGCTGGTTGGGCGCCAGTCCAGCGCCTAGCTCCTAGACGGCTCGGCGGGCGCCTAGGCGGGTACTAGTCGGAGACATATAAATAATAATAATAATAATAATAATAATAATAATAATAATAATAATAATAATAATAATAATAATAATAATAATAATAATAATAATAATAATAATAATAATAATAATAATAATAATAATAATAATAATAATAATAATAATAATAATAATAATAATAATAATAATAATAATAATAATAATAATAATAATAATAATAATAATAATAATAATAATAATAATAATAATAATAATAATAATAATAATAATAATAATAATAATAATAATAATAATAATAATAATAATAATAATAATAATAATAATAATAATAATAATAATAATAATAATAATAATAATAATAATAATAATAATAATAATAATAATAATAATAATAATAATAATAATAATAATAATAATAATAATAATAATAATAATAATAATAATAATAATAATAATAATAATAATAATAATAATAATAATAATAATAATAATAATAATAATAATAATAATAATAATAATAATAATAATAATAATAATAATAATAATAATAATAATAATAATAATAATAATAATAATAATAATAATAATAATAATAATAATAATAATAATAATAATAATAATAATAATAATAATAATAATAATAATAATAATAATAATAATAATAATAATAATAATAATAATAATAATAATAATAATAATAATAATAATAATAATAATAATAATAATAATAATAATAATAATAATAATAATAATAATAATAATAATAATAATAATAATAATAATAATAATAATAATAATAATAATAATAATAATAATAATAATAATAATAATAATAATAATAATAATAATAATAATAATAATAATAATAATAATAATAATAATAATAATAATAATAATAATAATAATAATAATAATAATAATAATAATAATAATAATAATAATAATAATAATAATAATAATAATAATAATAATAATAATAATAATAATAATAATAATAATAATAATAATAATAATAATAATAATAATAATAATAATAATAATAATAATAATAATAATAATAATAATAATAATAATAATAATAATAATAATAATAATAATAATAATAATAATAATAATAATAATAATAATAATAATAATAATAATAATAATAATAATAATAATAATAATAATAATAATAATAATAATAATAATAATAATAATAATAATAATAATAATAATAATAATAATAATAATAATAATAATAATAATAATAATAATAATAATAATAATAATAATAATAATAATAATAATAATAATAATAATAATAATAATAATAATAATAATAATAATAATAATAATATCAATACTTTTGCATAAATATGATTAGTAATGTTGTGTTTGTGTGTGTATTAAAAATATATGCGCACACATACACATTGACATGCATGAATGATAGTAACACTTAAGATCATATATACACATGTATAGTTTTTATCTTAATCTACAACTAATAGTTGTCTTCCTATGTGTTGTTAAAGTTAAAGGTACATATACCTCTTAGAAGACTAAAATATAAGAGCAAAATAAAATGTGACTAATCTAGATGCCTAGGTGGCTTATTAAACGCCCTGGATGGGCACCTAGGCGCCCAAGACGTCTAACTAATTCACTCAGACGTTAAATCAATTAGTCGGAACGCTTAGACTAATTTGGGCGCCCAGCCACTGGCTAGCGCCGAGGCGGGGACTAATCGGGCGTCTAGAGCGATACTTGGAACAATGGTTAATCCATTAAAATAGTTGTAACGTGGTTAGGCACACTCAATCCTTTGGCATTTCTGTGAGGGGGAACTTCACTTGTGCTACTAGTTGGGCGCACTCATTTAATTTGTGGGATTTTCTTCATCTTTTTTTGTCAGGTGGTGAGAAGAGTCATGCAATGAGTTCACCGTATAAGTTGTCGTAGAGATGCCTTGATATGTGTATGTGTTTGTTCCCAGCTGAATTATATAATCTTCATTTATCAGGCGCTTATTGGTGTATTGGAATGATGATTTTTTCGGTTACATAGATGATTTTGAAAATTGTACTTAATTATTAGTTGTATGTATCCAATGTGTTTACGTTGGTTTTGGTGATGGGTGGGTAGAGTTTGTCTTACTTGTGCATCTATTTTCATAAACACGCTTTTATTGGTATGTGTGTCACCCTTTCTTGTACCATTGTTAATGGGAATGAGGGAGTATAAACCAAGTAATTCATTTCTATCTCCTAATATGAGAAGTTTCTAACTATGTTTCCTGTTTTGAAACACTCTTTTTTAAAATACAACGAGATGTTGCATTCTGAATTTTAAAAAAGAAGAGTTATGTTATACATAATGTGAGTTTTCTCACTCTTAAAGCACGTGCAACAGTATAGGGTATTTAGAAGAATGGTATATATAGTAACATCCTTCATATAAGGAACAAATGTTATTCTTAGGCAAGTAATGAAATAATTTCTTAAGAGTTTTTGACTGGAGAAGATATTCAAGAAGACACCCAATCTTACATTCTTACTCAAGAATATTGTGATTAAGGATAATGATGAGGAGAATGAGATTAGAAATATTGCATAGTTGGAGGATAAGGGTAAAAAGACTGAATATTTTGTGGTATGGGCGAGTAATATTAATGAGTATAACGAGGATAAAGAGTGTGGTAAAATTTTCATGGAAATTTGAGGGTAAAGTGTTCTTCCAGGAATTGTGCTAAATTGGTTTACTTGGGAGCGATGGTGGGGTATCCAAAATTGGGTGGAGGAGAAATTGGACAGAATTTTGACACCAACAAGAGCAACAAGTTGGGTAGGAATAAGAATTAAAAGAAAAGTATATTAATCGGGTAGGGAAGGGGCTAGGGCAAGTACATTACACTTTATACTGATGTTAGTGCCCGACATTACTGCCATAGTATGTTTTTATGTAATCACTATAGTTCTCATATGATTCAATGGAAACATTTTTTTCATCAAAAAACTAGTTATACTTATTACTGAAGTGAATGAAAAAAAAAACTCCTACCAAAGATGGTACAAAATGTGACTTCATATTAGGAAATATTCCTTCCAAAATAGCACATGTTAAAAAAATTGTACCCAAAATGTTCAACAAGCAGGACACCTATCTTAGAAGGCACGATTGGTACTTTTAATTAAACCATGGCCCAACAATTGTGACAAACATAACTACAAGACAGATCAGTTGAAATGCTATGGTAAAAAAAGGTGTCATTAGTCAAATGCAGTCTTGGTTTGATCTCTGCAATAACGCAGATGGCAGTCTCTACCATTGCTCCTCTCTTTACAATAACCTAAAACCATATCACAAAATCAATCAGTATCAAAATCTGCATTCAGTATAGTCGCGGAAAAATACAGTGCAGACACTACTACATAAAAAATCTAGGTTTGTTCGGTAAAGTATTTTATGTTTTGAAAGTATTGGTTTTTGGGAAAACTGTCAAATAGGTGCTCGAACTTTCATAAAAAAGTCAATTAAGTCCTTCTATAGGAGACTCTATCCGGTCTTCGCGATTTGGGGCGGTTCCCGGTGGAATTTTTTGATGAAATTTTTTGGGGATCTTATTCATCAAGTCTAGTTTACTCATACCAAATTTCAGCTAAAAATTTAATCGGGAGCGCATTCAAATTAATTCGAGAACGCAAAAATGCGCAGTTATCTTCAAGAATTAATTTGAATGTGTTCCCGATTGAATTTTTAGCTGAAATTTGGTATGAATAAACTAGACTTGGTGAATAAGATGCTCAAAAAATTTCATCAAAAAATTCCACCGGGAACTGCCCCAAATCGCGACGGCCGGACAGAACCTCCTGTAGAAGGACTTAATTGACCTTTTTATGAAAGTTCGAGGACCTATTTGACAGTTTTCCCATTGGTTTTTTTATCTTTTTTTTTATTTTTGAGAATAACTGTAAACGTGGCTTTTTTTTAATTCCTAAAATGTAAACATGTTGGTAGGTCTATTTTGTATAATAATTTATATGGCTTTTATAAATATTCCAAGTGGTTTATGAATGAATAACTCTAAGATTAACACCACACTTGACCCGACCACGTAAAGGGTCCATTGTACCCTTTGAATTGCAAGACCCTGAGTGGTTACTGGTTAGGTACTTCCATTCAAAGGCTGTAGGTATTTGTTGGGTTGAATTTAAAGGTATAATGATGTGTTTGTATCAGTTTATGATCAAATGTGGGGTTAAGCTCGGGTGCATAGTAGTAGTAGCATTATTCAGAATGAGTAATGCCAAATTCTAAATGAAAATTGACAAACCATATAATAAAAATTTACACTACAATCATTACCAAGCAAGGAAAAAACGACTACCTCATGATTCAAATGTTATCCAAACAACTTGGAGTATGCTCTTTTCTCCTGCTCACGTCTATCAGCAATCTGTCACCAAGAAAAGCATATCAGCATTGTGAAATACAACAATAAACTCAAGATTAGAGCAGTGCATTCACCTTTTTCTTTGCTACAGCAAGCTCCTTTTTAATACCAGCTAGAAGAAAACACAGGAAAGTCAAATTACATAATAATGCCAACAAGAATGCCTAACAGAGGTGTCATCACAATGTTAATTAGCCAAACTGATTGCTTACAAGAAGTAAAAAACTGTCTGAGCAGAACACAATTGTCTGAAGTCTAAACCATATCCGTGTGATAAGATAATGAAAAAACCAGTGAAATTTGTTCGCTTTAAGTTAAAACTGGGAAGTAAACACAGAAAGACAGTAGTATATAGCGCATAACAGAAGTACACTAACCATCATTTGGCTCCAACTCCAGTGCTTTCTTGAAGCTTTCAACGGCAGAATCTATATCGTTAAGAGCAAGGTGTGCCTGATTGAGAGAGTAAAGTAGTATAGCATTAAAAGCCACTCAAATCCTCTAATAAACAGAATAAGCAACCCAGAAAATATTCCTCATAAAAGAAACAGGAAATATATTTATAATTACAGATACAACGTGATGATACTAAGCACTCAGATTCTGCTAGACTGAAAAACCAACCTGACCCTGGCGAAAGAGTGCTTTAGCATTGTTCTCTCCTTCACGCATTGCAAAGTCAGCATCTAAGAGTGCTCCCCTTATATCTCCTAGTTTCAGTTTGCAAGCCTGGAAAGTAAATATATATTTTAAGAACAGCTTTTTCTCTTGGAAGACCAAAATTATGATTAGGGAAATTGAATAAATTGGTTAATATTTGCAGTAAACAATACTACAATAGTTGACGGTTAAAACTGCACATTACTCCACTAATTTAAGACTTAAATGCTCTGCAGAATGTATTCACCAAATTCAAGGCCAAGAAACTGCTAACAAAGATGTCGCAATACATATCAAAATCATATCACTTCACTACAAATGAGGCTCTACACGATGTGTCTGTGTGTGTGTCGTATATGTATATTCTACTACGTAATATATTATATATACACATTTATGGTATTTAATCAATAAGTACTCACTACTAGACCTTGTTATGTGGTTCAAAAGTGATTTACTGAGCGGGTTCATCGACACATTGAGTTCAATTGCTCTGTTCATAGATAGATGTGAAAGATATGAAAATTAAAATTGGGGTCATTATGAGATACAGAGTAGAAAAGAACTTAGGGACTTTTATTTAATATAACACTTTTGGAAGTTGTAATTGTTCTGAAAACAATAATTTCCCTCATGATGTGTTTGCTGACATGCAGGAAGATGAAGGTAATGTCACTGACTCACTGTTGAACCAGACAATGACTAAATTAGATCTTTTTAAATATTGTTCGAATAACACTAGTTATATTTATTTTCTCCTTTATATGTACATGAGACTTACATTATAAGAACATTGTAGCATATGTTTTCAAAATTTCACTAATACAGATTTGAATAATCACCGGTTATTCCCCAGAAAAATGGGTCCTAATTCGCTATTTTCCCTTTGACAAAGTATCTACAAAGTATCTACCTCGATTTGAAATATCTAACTAATTAGACACACAAACACACAGTAAACTTATATACTTATAATAGGCTAATAGCAAAAAAACATATATTCGGATCATCCATTTCTTTGAACTTGTGAATCATATTCTGAGAGCAGTCAGTAGACTAAGAACATGCTCTAATCACCTAAAAATGTGATCGACTGATCGTATCTAAATATTTTTATGATCTGAACTGATCCGAATTTTCTGATTTAGTCTAGTCTGAATGTATATTTCTGGTCCGGTTTGGTCCAACTGTCCAAGTCTTTCTGATGTAGTTTGGTATGGTCTAGTATGGTCTGACTAAAATTAGTATAAGTTCTGGGCAAAAAGAAATCTGGGGAATACACAAAAGAAGGATCACACAGAGACTGCTCTTGCTCACTAATTACTGCAACATTATAATTAGACAGCAGAACTCAAGTGCTAACTGAAGTAACAAAAGGTAAGAAACTCACAGAACTATTGGCGAAAATCTGTGACTTCATCTTTCTCATGTATGAACTCTGATCTGAATAAATGCAAACACACTTAAAGTATCAATATATGCTGATTACAATAACCTTCAATACCAAGTGTATAACATATGTATATTTAAAGGTTTGGCAGATTACCTTCATCTATCCCTTCCTTCTCCCAGCAGACATCCAAATACCGCAAAGCCTTTCGATATTTCTTAAGAGCCATATTGTAGTCTTGTTTCTTGAAAACAGCAAAGTAAAGTAATACCCAAAAGAATCAGTAGTTGTTATCTTAAATATTCATTTTCTTCTCAGTTCTCAACTTCTCATTAACATTTATCTTCATAATACTCCCCGATGCCCTTATTATAAGAAACAGTATTAACTTTTACACAGACAAAGATATAATTAAAGGGAGCCAAATTAATATTGACTTTCCGAATAAAATCAATATAGGAATAAAAATCTAAATGTGCATTCATAAGACAAAGGGTGCTACATGTAGGAAAACACTGATATGCCCTTACAAATAGAATAAGGGGAGTAGTTAATACCTTAAAGTGATCATTACCAAACGCTTTGATTGACTCTACAGCACTCTCCCACCAAGAGAGCTCATCAGGCTGGTTGTCAAGGTCAACTGGCCAATCGGCATACATATCACCATCTTTGAAAAAGTTTGCAATTCCATCATCTTCCCCCTCTGGTATTTCTCCACAGTCCGAGATTATAACATCATCAACTGGGCAATCATTTTCACCTGTCTGAACATGCTCCATAGACCGAAGAACCCCTGTTCCTTTGATTACCTTTCCGAACACAACATGCTTTCCATCAAGATGAGGAGTACAAGTGGTGGTGATGAAAAACTGAGAGCCATTAGTGTTAGGTCCAGCATTGGCCATTGATAACATCCCCTTCCTTTCGTGTTTCAACTCAAAATTTTCATCTTCGAATTTCAGTCCATAAATGGACTCTCCACCAGTCCCATCCCCTGCAGATATGTCACCACCTTGTACCATGAAACTCTTAATAACCCGATGAAAACAGACTCCCTGGCATGGGTGTTAAGAGTGGTCACAAAAAAATACAGAGTATAAGTACAGAACAGGTACCGTTGTGCTGCTAGTTTATAAAGGAGGAACAGGAGCAGATAAAGGATTAAGGATCTATGGTCAAGGGGAAAAACTTCTTCATTACAACAGTTCTCTGGATTTTTATTTGAAAATAAAGATATAACTCATACTCCCTCCGTCCCGAATTATAAGATACTTTTCGGTTTATGATGTTTGACCGACGATAAAGCAAACAGATCCCTGTCTGCATTCAAATTATTTTTAGAAAAAAAAATTACATATTCAGAAACTACATTAAAACCGCTACAAAACCTGCAAAAAGTAATTCAAATTTCATAAAATTTTGATTAATAAAGTAAGAGATTAAGAGTGATTTGTGTTGACCAAGTGAATAGTAAAAATATCTTATAAAATGGGACAGAGGGAGTATAAGTTTATTTTCAACTCATCATCATCATTACCCCAGTGCCGCAAAGGCTCCCACCTATGGTGGTGTAAGAGGGGTCGGATGTACGCAGTCTTACCCCTGTACTAAAGTACAAAGAGACTGTTTCCGGATGACCCATAGTGAAAATCGCGTCGAAAGCACCACAACTTAATATTACACGACAAGAAAAAAAAATTAACATTGTTATATAAACATTGGTGGAAATTATATGCAACAACGCCTCGGTGATACTAAATCAAAGAAAAAAATTATATGCAACAACACCCAAGCCTTATCTCTAAAAGAGTTTGGGTTGGCTAACATGAATTTACATATGAAATTGGATCTGAAAAAAGATAAAAAGATAAGATACATATGAAAACGATAACATAAAAAGATTAAAAAAAAATAAAAAAAAATAATAAAATAAAAAGATATAAAGATAAAGAAGATAGGAAAGATAAAATGGAAAAAAGATAAAATGAGATCAATCCTTCACACAAAGAAAGACTTATACCTGTAGTATGATTTTAAAAAATTGACTGACAAATATTAAAATGAACATTCACACATCTGCACATATTATATTTTCAAATAACATTCACCTTATTGAACTACATGAACCTTGTTAAAATGAACATTCAAATTAATGAGTTAAACTCTTTTTTAGCTAGGGTTCTTTAGGCCGCAAAGTGAGTTTGATTATCATGTTGTGTTTCATTTATCCAATATAGTTAAATTAAGTAAAATGTGTATATGTTAAGAATGTTAATGTTAGAATGCTTAAAATTATAATATGCATCATGTAGTGTCACTAAAGGAAAAAAAATCACTTACTAAGTTAATTATGTTTCAGTTTAGAATATGTCATAGGCCATATAGATAGTATATTAGTCCAATTGAGCTTCATGTCTATGTAATTTTTGAATATTATTTCATATTTTAGCAAATAATGTGACTTTCTTTATCTACAAAGGATAAACTTTACAAAAAATAGTACTCTATTTGTATAAATTGAACATCCTAAATCTTAAATAAATGATCTTTTTCTAATATATTTATTTTTCAAATCAAGATATTAATAAATTTCTATACAGCTAAACAGAATAAAATTAAAACTTCACCTAGCAAACAAAAACTTTAGCCATAAAGAATTTCCAACAATCATTTCAGAATCTCTAAATCGCAGATATACAGAAAAATGACAGTGAGGGTATAAACTATACCTTGTAATGGAGAGGGACACCGGTGTTAGGTCCAATACCCTTCTCGCCGGTACAAAGAGCCCTAAAATTTTCAGCTGTTTTAGGGACGACGTCGTTGTAAAGCTCCACCACTATCCTCCCTTCCAGCTCCCCTCCGATGCTGATGTCAAGAAAGCAACGCGGCCGGCCCATCTTCGTATATCGTTCTCAGTGAAAAACGCCGTGGCTCGACTGCGCTGTGCTCGCTGCTGAGTGTGTTTGCGAATACCGTAAAAAACGCACGATATTTATCTATTGGATGACGGATTAACAGCTCCACTGTTTACTGTTTTACCTTTTTTCTTTGACGCAAGTTTACTGTTTACTGTTTTACCTCGCTCATTTTTTCAAATGATGTTCTACTCAAGTTTTCTCGTCATATAAAAAAAATGCTTCTTTGTACACAAGATTTCGGCTATGAAGCACCGATACATCACTAGGGTGCCGTATCGGTGTATCGAAAACGTTCTTGTATCTAATACTTTAGGATACATGTACCGTATTCCCGGACCGTATATGAAATTTTTAAAAGTTTCCATTTTTATGGTAATTATTTTAAAATTTTGGATATTCATATCCTGACAGATACTCGTATCAACTTTTTAAAAGAAACCTCCCAAAAAAAATTAAAAAACATTCAAAATTTACATATTAAAATTCTTAAAACGTGAAAAGCTAAATATAATATTTACCTTGCTTTTATGTGGTACACAAGTATGGACTTATTCCTAATTCACATATCCTCCTATCCATAATTCAAATTATCCCCGGAAATTAATAGCTCCAACGGAAATATGTATTAGAACATTTAAAATATTATTTTTGTATCTTCATTATTCTAGAACTTTGAGTACTTGCACTTTTAATTTCAAAACTATAGTTGTTTGAGTTATTTCTCATTTTAAATTAATGACTTATTGACTATATTTATATTTTGAGGTGCACTAGTGTATATGAGATAAAATATGAACTTATTTCTAAGTATCTTCAAAATGTAAAATGTTTCAATGCCATGAATGAGTAGACGTCAAAGATAATATGTCTATTTTTTCCAAAAAAAATGTATTTTTAATATTTATAACTACACCCCTATAACTTTTAATATTTATAAATACACCCCCATGACTTTTAATATTTATAAATATGGCCGTGTATCTGTATCCTACTTTTTTTTACTTTGTCATATCTCCGTACCCGTTTCCGCGTTTCCGCGTACCCGTATCGGTGCTACATAGGATTTCGGTCACCGATAAACGGTGTACTGTCACTTGGGAGTTGCTTGGGACACCAAATTTCGGTTACCGATTAACGGTACGATGTGCTGTCAAATGGGAGTTGCTTGTGAGCTTAAACGAGAATTGTTTGTATCCACTAACATTAATTCTGTACCAAAAAGTTCACTGACATCAACCTGACATTAACACAGACGTGCAAACTAATCTTTGTGTGTGTGGTGTCTGTGTGTACAGATGATAATTGTCTATGCGCAGACCATTGTTTTATGTGATCAAAATGTGGATTTTTCATATAGATTTTCCCACATAAACAATAGTTGTTGACCTCACAGACAATAGTTATATGTGTGATCGTTTTTAATTCTCTGTGTTGACATAGATTTTATTACATAGACAAAAAGTATTTTGCTCACAAACAATAATTGTGTATGTGATTCATTTTAGTTGTCTACTTGTCTATATTATCAATTTTAGTTCTGTACGTGAACAAAATATTTAATTGTGTTGTAGGTTTATGTGTGTTCAAATGTTCAATGTACGTGTAATTTGAAAAAATTGAAAAGAAAATAAAGGTAAATGAATATATATAAATAGGTTGTTTTGTGCAAGTAATGAAAAAATTTTATATAAAAAAGTAAAGAAGAAGACGATAGAAAACGGAAGATGACCATGAAGAAGAGAAGAAGATGATTCAATCTTCTTATGGATATTTGAATGTGTTGGGTAGATAGGGAAGAAAGAAGTGGGGAGAGGGAAGAGCGAAGGGAGATGATAGGAAAATGGTAGAACTAAAATGGCATACTTTTAGGCTTATATATAGTACTAGATCTTCTTGTTCTTAGCATTCTAACACTCGCTTCCTCTTTGGCTCCCCCAAGCGTCAAGCAATTGTTCCTGTTTTCAAGGGTTGGTGAGGGTAAGCCGTCCAAAAAGAGGCGAAATATTTATTTGGGGTAGGATGAAGGGTGTTGTGGGATTTTGGTGAAATATTTATGTTACGATTACCCTTGAATTTGGAGCTATTTACAAAAAAAATATTAATGAAATTAACTTGAGAAAAGAAAGATGAAAACGGAGTGGGAAGGAGGCCCTCCCTCCATTAATAGTTAATACAGGATAGTTTCCTTGTCACAAGCGAACCTTGCTCATTTAGTTGGATCATCATTCCCTATTTACATACATTTCCCAGAGGAGAAAAAGAGAAAAGAAGAAAGGAGGCGAACGATGAGAAGGCCTCAATCTCTGCCTCTACTGTAAGTTCGTTCCCCTTGTTAACAAAGAAAATTAATCCCAAGTCCGAAGATATAATTTCTCACAAAATGCATTCTTCTTCCAGTAAACAACCCGGAGCGACTTTCAAGAACAGAGGAAAAGCACTGAACCATGATGAGCCTGATAAAGATGAAGACGCATTCTCCAGTGACATGATGATTACTTGCATGCCAATCCAGAAACGCCAACCCTACAAAAGATGTAAGAAATTTCCAACTCTTTTTGAAATTTCTGAAACGGAGGGTTCAGTCGAAGATATTCCTTTCACTCTGAGAGTTCTGAAATTGAATGTTCCGGAAATTCCTGCTTGAGAAAACAGACTAACAATGTTTCTTAAATTGTAGGAATATTCTTAAATTGACGAATCTGCGAAATCATAAAAAGATTGGGGTTTTTACTTTATTTCCTGTAAAACAGATAAAATGTCTCAATGCACATTTTTCTTTCTTTCTTCAATCTCGGAAATTGAAAATCAATAGACTTAATTAGATGAAAACATTATTCTTTCTTCCCCGGGTGTTCAATAGATTCCCAGTTTGAGAATATAGAAAAAGAACGAGTTTAAAAAAGGACTTGGATTTTTTTGTCATTCTTGGAAACTGAAAATCCAAAAACCGGAAGCAGGCCAAAGATTTCTTTCTTGCTGATCGGTATTAATTAACTCCCAGTATGTGAGAACAGATAATAGAAAAACAATGGTTCACTTAGTATGACATTGAATGTATTTAATTTGACTCTGGCTGGAAACTGGGATCAGGTGAAGAGTATTGTGGTGATGAATATGGGCAATGGAGGATGGAACAGATGAAGGGAGCAGAAAGGTTAGAGAAGGAGCTGAAGGGAAGGTGGTCAATGGAGAATCTGATTGATGAGCAGGTGAAGCGTTTCCAGGCGCAGTACAGCAGTACCCCGACCAAGCTGATCAAAGATGTAGCCGAGGTGTTGATGCCAAAATGGGCCCCGCCCCGTGAGCTAGCAGCCCTTTCCTGGTTGGGCGATTGGAGGCCCTCGGCCATCCCGCGCCTCCTCCACTCCCTAATCCAAGCGGGCACCCTTCCCGAGTCCCGCGCGGTGAAGACGGTTCTGCCCCTGCTGATGGAGGAGTTACGGGCGGAGGAGGCAGTGATCGAGGAGGAGATGGCTGAAATCCAAGCGAATTGCATCTTTCACCTCCCTTTGAGAATGATGAGGAAGAAGAAGGGGGGTGTGGCGGCTTTAGCCTGTGTTCACACCGAGTTCAAAAAGGTTCATCAGGTTCTCATCAAGGCCCAAAACCTGAGGGTGAAAGCAATGCATGTGAGTGTGAAGAAGGTTCTCATCAAGGCCCCAACAGATGCGGCGCAGTTCTTGGTTGCATTTGCCAGGCTTCAAGATTTGATCCATCAACATGCCATGCGCCACCACCTTATTCATGGCCCTGTTTCTGTCCTCACCGCCTAGCACCCGCCCACCTACACGTACTTGCAAATTTCACAATCAAAACAATATGTACAAAAATATATAGGATATATAGGTTTTCTTATCTTCACAACAGAATTGTGATGTAGGTGTGTTTCTGAATTTTGATGATCTTCATTGTATTTGAGGCATCACAACTCACAAGTTCATTATATTCAAGCAATTCAACACACACACACACACGACACACAATATATATAGAGAGAGGACAGATCATATCAGTTCATTTGTCTGTCTTCCCGGTTGCATTTTTAGCTGAAATTTGGTATGGATAAACTAGACTTGATGTAGAACAGACTCAAAAAAATCATTGAAAAATTCCAACGAGAAGAGCTCCAAAAGCCCTCGGCCGGATGACAATTCCTACCAGGCCGGCCTGACAGGATCGTTGCTCTCTCTCTCTATCTATGTATGTATGTATGTACTAGCCCTGGCACGCCCTATGGGCGAGGCGTTGGTGCCCAATTCAAGCACAAACGTATAACATATGAAAATACACTACATGTCGTTTTGGGTTAGCATGATACTAAAGTGGCACATACAAGAGTTTTTTAAAAAAGCAGGGCCATTAAATCTAAATGAATTGGAGCAAACTGAATGCTCCAACGATAAAAAAGTAACTTACACAAGAGAAAATAGCTTGCAACATATTAAAACCTTGAAACCAAAGGCAAACTTACTTGTTTGGAGTTGCCAATAATCGGCAGATTACACATTATGGGATGAACCAACATATTTCAGTTAGAAGCGCCTATGTACAAAAAGAACAAAATTGCCTGTGCAAAAACATCTATAATTATATTAAAAAGTAGCCGAATATACCGCTGCCTACTTTTTAATCAATTACATGCATAAATTTGTAGTTGTAGCAAAAGATAATACACACAACATTCAAAAGGTCTAAACTATGTTAAGGAGGCTGAAAGTTAATAGATAAAGCACATGCTCCACAACATAGAAGATTAACTTGAGTCATGGAGGATCCAAGGCAGAAAGTTCCCATTCTTATCCTGGAAAAGGGACAATAGCACAGGGTTTAGTTTTCTTAGATTTCAATGGATGCGGGTTAAAATCTGCGAGATTGTCCAAAGATTCAGTGTCATCGGGTGTCACGTTTCCAATGGGCTCCTCCAAATCCAATTTCTGCTTGGATTGGTGGCTAGACTCGGCCGCTTTGGTGTTTGTGAAGTCATTCCCAGAAAGAACCAGTGCATTTGAAGCCTGACATATGCAAATAACTCCATAAGCATTACATTGTGGGCCTTCATCATCTTTTTTTAGCGTGGCGCATTCCCAAACAAGCTGCATGTTGCTATGTTTCTCAAGAGCTTCCAAGTTAAGCTCACTCAGAAGGTTCGTGTCCTACACATTGCATGATATGTACGTAGAACATCATGTGTGAACAAAGTGATATCCACACATGTTGATTTGTGAGCAACTTTAGCTGCCATTCTGAACCTTAACATTTCTAAAAAAAATAAAAATGCAGCCTTCACATAACAAAAGTATGAATTGAATACCTCTTAACGCTGGTTCCATTTTTTGTCCACAAAACAGGCATTCAAAGATAACACCTTCATCAGAATGCACTTAGGATATGTCTAAGTTTTTTTATGCCAGTAGTCATATGAATCATAGGACTCAGATTACCACTCTGAAAACAAGTTTTATGTTGCTCAAGGTACTCTTGAATGACTCTTTCTGAAGCTTTTTGGTAGTTTCCCTCTGTGGTCATTTCTCTTCATTATTAGCAAAATTTTGATAGTTAAATTATTAGTGCAGATTTGAAAAAAAAAACTGTAAATGGTAGGCAAGGGGGAAAGGCTAATGAAGATATTCATATGACCTCAGAAAAATAATTTGATTAGAGCTTTTTTAAAAAGTCACATACATTTATATTTTTTAGTCTCTATATGAATGAAATAGGTTAATCAAGAGAGTTTAAACAAATACTTAAAATTGATTTAGTGAGGTTGACAATTTATCCCCTCAACATTTTTCTTCATTCCAAATCCCCACCCTATTTTCATCCCAATTTCCTTTCCTTAGCGTATCCCAGGTCCAGACAGGCTCTACATTATGCAGGGATCAAGTAGACTTAGCCACACTGTAACATTTGTGATTTGGCATATATCCGTTCTCCATTATGCTATAAGACAGCTTCATATAAGTGTACATGTTTTTATTCATGTATAGTGACACAGATGTTCATGGCTAACTGCTAAGCCTTCTACGACGGATGAAGCGTTGGAGAAACATTAGTGCCCAGACATATGCTCGTTTCATTATGTTGAAGTGAAATGTGTTATAACTATAGTTGTGCTAAATATGAACATGCTTAAAACCGAAAAATTGACTCTTAATTATGGGATGAAGAGGGTCCCGAAAACTTAAGGTCAAAATGATTAAAGAATAAACCATGGCAAAATAAATGAAAATATCAAACAAAGCATCAAGCAGATTTAAAACACAAGATAACGGGGAGCAAACTAAATCAAAGCTGAGATGAAACATTGAGAAATTACTTCATATTTTAGAATTCAAAAAAAGGCAAAGTTCATTTTTAAAAAATCTGATGACAACAAGTATTTTTTCACGAATGTTTTTTTAATTGAATACAGTAATAGGTAGAAAAACAGCTCACAGCCCCTTTGATTGAGACGTAGTAAAAAAAATATGATCCTTCATTGTAACATACACTATTAACTACTACTCTTTTCTTTCTTCCTACTTTTGCAACAAAATCTTAAAACTGAATCACTTTATTATTTCTCAGTTTCTGTCCATGGTAAAGGTTAAAGAAAGCCTCTTCTGAAGCTCTATGGTAACCCCATCCCAAAAAAATAGAGAGACATATACCATATCAATCTCATCCTCCACAGCAAATAATAAGCCAACAAGTTGTGAATGCATGTTCATAGAATATATCAGAATTCGTAAAATAAAACATGGGGCGAAGGGGATGGCAGCGGGGGACTAAGTTAATAGGGGAAGATACCAGATAAGAGTAAGGAAATTCAAACACCAAACCAATAATAGCCGTCTTTAAAATTGCCAGAACAAAAATAATGGTGCTCATCACCAAATGAATGAGCCAGTGACCTTGAATATAGAGAGAGAGAATGGAAAGAAGACCAACCCGGCTAATTCGTATGCAGAGATGGAGCGACGAGGCGAGGGAACTGTTCTACTTCGAGAATGGGCGACGTCGAGTTATGCGGAAGGCGGACCTTGAGTGTAAATTGTCGTAAGAGATAGGGTTGGCATGGAATGAACACCACAAGTCGATCGATAAACAAAAACAACACGCAACCACCGGATGCCAGGAGAACCGCACATAGCACATCCTTCTACAGTAGCCTGACCGCAGAACAGTGGGTAGAAGCTCGGCACCAAATCAAGCAAAAATAGATTTTGAATTAAAAAACGAATTCAGGAGACGGAGGCGGTGAATAGAAAGAGACGGAGCTTGACTTAACGGGAAATGGGCGGAAATTTGGGACGGCCGTTCAGGTCACCCTTTATATAAGTAGGAGATGTACAAATTGTGTACAACTGGTCGTCTACTCACTCTCTCATACGAGAGGTCTCGAAGTCAAAACTTTATGAAGTGAGTTTCAACTTTGTTTACCCTAGACTCCCCTCAGTCCCCTCCCCTGACCCTAGTACATGGTTGATGTTTTTTTACAATTATTGAAATTTGATCTAATTTGATCAGTTTAAATCTGGTATGATTTCTTTTGGACTGATCTATTCTATTGTGAGAATGAAACTAATCCAAGTAAGAACGTCCTCAAAGTGCATTTCGTTAAATTATCTCATTTTAATTAAATTAAATTAAAATTTTCAAGCCTCATTTGATCTAGTTTGACTTGATTTATTCTGATTAAGTTTAATATGAATTGATAAAGTCTGGTCTGATAATGATCTGTTTTATACTCTTTCTATCCCTCAAAACTTTGTCATGTTTTCTTTTTTGTTGTCTCAAACACTTTGCCAGTTTCCATTTTGATCAATCAATTTTTTGTTCCTGTCATTTCTCTCTCAAGTACACAAACCTCAATCACACACATTTTGCTTTACTATTCCTCGTGTTGGTCAAATTTGGCAAAATTTTGAAAGAAGAAGAAAGTATATAATTTATTCAATGTTAAAAAAGACGACAAAAGGCAGGGTCTAGGGCTCTAGGCGCACCTATGCATGAGGCGGCGAGACATACCCCACATAGTAGAAAGGCTTGAAAAGAGTTGACCACCAAATACGTGAAAAGGCATAAGTTTAGGCGCAAGGCGAAGCTTAGGCATGAAAAAGAAAATTTAATGAATTAGTTTTTTGCAAAGAAAAATTTGATTAAATTCAAAAACACATATTTTTTATATACATGTTATATATGGAGTCTAATGCGGAGTATAAAAAAATTATAATATATCATTTTGAATTTGCACTTTTTATATACGAAGTATTTAAAATTATATATATTGAACAAAGTAAAAATCAAGCTCAGTGATTTATAATATATTTTGGACATTTATTTATTTTTTTTTCTCCATATATCATTATAAAATACTCTTTTGCGAATGCTTGGATGTTGTTTTGTATATCGCTATAAAATACTACGTAGTACATAGTAATTATCAATACAAACCTAAAATGCCTTTAGACCTTGAGGCTTTGTGTACGAATGTATTGTCTACTCATTATTTTCCTTATATAGGAAAAAGGATAATCAGCGAATTAGTAATTACAATGAATCTCGAAAATATCAATTATAATTCGTAAGAGTATTATAACCCGTTTGGCAACCCTGTTTCTCGAAAATATTAATTATAAGCCAATTTTTTAACCAAACATGTAACTTTTGATTTCACGCACTGAATTATGGTGGGGGCACACCGGGAGCGGGGACCGCCCGATATTTCGGGACCACATATTATATTCATCTTAGTCTAGATAATATCTATATAATGGTGTGTATTCATGTTGAGCCATAGAAACAATATAGAGTTGACCGGTTGATCAAACGAGGCCCATGCACTCGTATTGGTAGTTTATCAACTAACAGCCTGTAATGAATTACGAGGATATTAATTGAGAGAGTGATATATATTATTTGACCCGATAAAATGAAATTTAATTAAAACAATCCGAGAAATACAACTTTCGGGACCAAATGTATACCCCCGACACATAAAGGGGTGACCTCCCACATGAGTGGGGGCCACTCGACGAAATTATACACCCAAGTCAACCAAATAACAACTGATTGACTCGTGTTAGACGGATACATGAAAAAGACATGGGAGGGGGCATGGGTGAAGAGACTTGGGGGACCTTTAGCACATTATTTGGCCTAATATGCCAAAAAGGATAACCCCTCACTCATTTGCTCCATTCTTTCGACCAACCTCCCTCAAGCAAAAGAAAAACTTTCTGCAAAACACCATCTCCATTGTTAGAAACGAGCTCAAGCTAGAAAAACGTTCAAGGAAGAAGATTAAGTGGAAAAGGGGAACAAAAGCTTGATAATGATCTCATTAACCTTTTATCTTCTCTCATGAATTCCATACAATTAAACAAATCATATGTTAGAGCCCTAGAATCATTTTACATGCTTAGAGGTGTAGAATGAGGGGTTAGAAAGTGATTCAAAGTTCAAGAGCGGACTTAGAAGTCAAGGTGATCGCTTTGCCGAAAAATAACTAACCTTGTTTTTTTAAGGCTATTTGTATTTATATAGGTTTTTGGATAATAAAACCTTGTTAGGGACTTGTTTGGTGATCCTAGTGTTCTCACGAGGTTGAGATAGTTGTCGAAGGTATCACCGGAGTTCACCGAGTTTTGCCGGAGTTTCGCCGGAGTTCAACCGGAGAGGGTAGAATTTCTTAAAGCTCATTTGAGGTGAGTTGACAGCTTAATGTCTTATAAATCTTGGGTGTAACACCGTCCCCAAATATATTTACTTATATGTAAATAATGTATTGAACCTTATTAAAGGATTAATGAATTTACGAAGTTGTAAATTTTTGTTATTTCTTCGCGTGAATAATAAATTGCACGTGAGACCCACACTGGGAGCGGGGGCCACCCGACATTCCCGAGACCATATATTTTATTCATCTTGGTCTAGATAATAAATATATAGTGGTGGATATTTCATTTGGGCCATGGAAAGGCCTAGAGTTGACCGATTGGTCAAAAGAAGCCCAAATTACCGGTACTGGTAATTTAACAGATAACAGCCCGAACTGAATTTCGGAGGCTTATAAATTAAAGTTGGGAAATGTATATTCATTATAAATTTCATAATGAGTAAGAGCACATAATATATTTTATTTGACCCGATAAAATAAAATATATTTAAAACAGTCCGAAAAATACAACTTTCGGGACCGATTGTACACATCGGGACACAAAAGGATGACCTCCCACATGAGTGGGGGCCACCCCACGTTTTTTGTGCTAGATTAGACAAAGATGGGCTGGAGTTGACTAAGGAAGATGTGGAGGAGGAGGCTTGGGCATCAAAGGTACACCCAAAGGGGCCCTTTTCCTCACTCATTTGCCAAATGAGACAAAGAGAGCCATCCCCTCCCCTCCCTCACTCATTAGCTCGACCAAGCACCAAGGAAGAGGAAAGAAATCTCTCAACTCATCCTCCATATCCACCAAACTCGATCTCAAGAACAAGTGTTCAAAGAAGGAAGATTAAAGAGTGAAAAAGTTGGGAAAAGTGTGAACAATTAAGGTAATGACCTTATTATAACGTTTCCTTTATTTTTCTTCTACCATATGAGGTATATATCATATGAGGTACCCTTAGTATTGTTCTACATGATATAAGTGTTGAACAATGGGTTGGAAGATGGTTCTAAGTCCAAAACGGACTTAGAGGCCAAAACTACCGGTTCACCGGAAAATAACCTTTTTGAGGTTATTCGTACTAATATGGGTTTTATGACTATAAAACCTTGTTAGGCACTTGTAAAGGGTATTTCAAGTGATTTCACAAAGTTGGAAAAGTCGCCGGAGTTGTCGCCGGAGTTGACCAAAAGTCGCCGGAGTTTCACCGGAGTTCAACCAAGAAGGGTAGAACTTCATAACGCTAGTTTCAAGGTGAGTGGACGGCTTAATATCTTATAACTTTTGGGTTAATTATGAGATTACCTAAATAAATGTTTTATGTGTTCATAATGATGTTTAAAAGGTATTTAAACATGTGATTTGCCAACATGGTTAAGTTTGTATGAAAGAAATTAATTGCTTATGCATGGAATATGACATGAAGAATTATATAAAATGCATATTTGTTTGAAGTGTATTAGAAGCACAAATGAATATCTTTAACTTAATTATATGATGATTAAGTTGATACACGAAAGGCATGAAATGGCGGTCAACGAAAACGTTGACCGATGGACAAAGGATTTAATTAATACCGGTTGGTATTAATTAATTATAAATCTATATAAATGCATGGTTTTGTATGGATTTTGATACATAAGCTTTACGTATTGATTTAGCTATGAATGAGTAGATATAATATAGACTCTATCTAGGTTGATAGGAGGTTGATCATAAGAAAAATTGGTGGAGGACCCTAGGACTTAAAAGTCCTTAACACTCATAATTTGGTGGAGGACCCTAGGACTTAAAAGTCCTTAACACTCGGATTATAAATTGGTGGAGGACCCTAGGACTTAAAGTCCTTAACACTCGGATTATAAATTGGTGGAGGACCCTAGTACTTAAAAGTACTTAACACTCATAAATTGGGTTAGGACCCTAGGACTTAAAAGTCCTTAACACTCATAATTTGGTGGAGGACCCTAGGACTTAAAAGTCCTTAACACTCGGATTATAAATTGGTGGAGGACCCTAGGACTTAAAGTCCTTAACACTCGGATTATAAATTGGTGGAGGACCCTAGTACTTAAAAGTACTTAACACTCAAAACTTGGTGGAGGACCCTAGTACTTAAAAGTACTTAACACTCAAAATTTGGTGGAGGACCCTAGTACTTAAAAGTACTTAACACTCAAAACTTGGTGGAGGACCCTAGGACTTATGAGTCCTTAACACTCGGAAAACAAATTGGTGGAGTACCCAAGGATTATGATCCTCAAAACTCATAGATTATGATATTGAAATAGGAACAAGGAGGAGTCCTATACACTCATAGGTATATGGGTGGGTTGGGGTTTTTAGTCAAGGATGTTGACTATTACTATTTTTCCCAAATAAAACGGTGATCCACGGATCGGGTATTTTCCAAGTATATATATATATGTATATACAAATGAGTATTTCATAACTTGGGGAAAAGACTATTTACATAAGTATCACTCTATGTTTGGGTCTTATACTTGAAACGCTAGTTATTCTATATTTAACCTGCTACTCGCTCGGTACTTGTACTGACCCCTTCGGGGGGCCCCACCATTTTCAGGTTGAAGCTAGGACTTGCTACCTGCACCTTCTTA